TTATTATTTTATTTAAAAAATACTAAATACAATTAAATTTTTCAGGCAAATTTGTCTGGAATACGGTTTAAGGGATAAGAAACTTTTAAAAATTTTATTATAACAGTTCACTGTAAAGAGATTTGACTATATTTCTATTCATATTTGTACAGCAAAGACAAACTGAAGATAAATTCAAACTTTAAGAAAAAACACGATATAACTTTTTTTCTAGAAGTGAATATTTTTACTGGTCTTTGTTTTGCAAAAATTTAATACATACATGGTTCATAGTGTTGGGTAAATGGTTGTTATAGAAATTGGTTTATACCGCATAGGATAACTAAATTTGCAAGGGTCAACCTGTTTCGCATATGCTTTCGGCCATATGGAATTGGTTAACTCATACAAATTTAATTATTTTTCTACAACCCATACAATAACTATAACTTATTTTCATAGTACAATATAATAATAAATAGTCAATCATAAGTTTTAGGATAGAACGCACAATCACAGTCTTGTAGTATGAAGTTATAATATGCACAAAAAACTTATTTGTAATAACAAATAAATTTGAATTATGAAATAATATAACATTTTTTCTCATAATCTGATTTTTGTTACATTGACTGATGTTAAAAAAAAAAAAGGAATTATAATACTTCAGATATCTAGTGATAGCAATAGCTAATTAGTTGTCTTAATTTCATACCATTAAAATATTTAAACATATATCATGATAATCAAATTTTATTTATAAAAAATATTAAATTGTACCGGGAGAAGTTCAATACCGAGTTGCTATATCTTAAAAAATTAAGTAATTAAGGTCATGTTCCAAGTAAAAATGTCAAGATTCTCCAAAATCAAAAACCTCATGCTATCTTAAAATGAATATTTATAATCCAACTTTATCCTATTCTATAACCATATGTTACCCTAAATTTTATTATAAAAAAATATAATAATAATATCCAGGTATAAAGACGATTTATGCTTTATGTGTTTAATAATCAAAAAATAATTTCAATTAAAATATTTAAACATAACCAATCAAATTGAAGGATACATCAGTATCATATTATAATATTAGGAAAAAGGAGAATAACCACAAGCTATTGTTAAGTTTGTTTTATAATTAAAAATTGCAGCTATTATGATGTCGGATAGAGTAAAATTGGGGACACCAAATGTAAAATCAATATTATATTCTTTAGTTAGATATTTAGTTTTACCATCATCACAAATTGTTATACGGTTTTCACCTAAAATTTTCTCACTTTGATCAACAAAAACAAAAGCAAATATGTAGTCTTCAGTAATCTCAGTTTCTGTTGTTGCAGAACCTGTAATCTCACCTGGGTTATTAGCTACCAAAAGATCAGGTTGAATTGTTACTTTATTGATAGTGGTTGCATTGTCTAGTGCTGGATTTGGATATTTCTCAAATATAGTATCTTTTAATTAGTTGTGAAATAGCATTGACAATAGAAATTACAGCTAAAAAAATAAATAACAAAGCAAGGTTTCAGTTCATAGATGCTATTATTTTTATAGATTAGCAAGAAAAAAGTTTTTTTCCTATAGGAATTATTATGAGTGCAATTATTATTGATTTTTTTGTTGACTCCAGCACAAATCGAAATCATTGAGTTTTTATAAAAAAAAAAAAAGCTTGTTATGTATATAATTTACTTATTTGTTGATATAAAAGATAGTCAAGAACAAGAATGAAATGAATGAGTCATATATTTAAACTTATTTGTATAGCTTAGACAACACATCAGGTCTAAGCTTATTTAATTCACATATTAAGCAATAGATTTACAGCAAACAATACGATATTTTCTATTGTATATTACACTGAAAAATTTGATGAAAATGCATAATTTTTTATTGTACATATATGCAATGTAAGTCATGTCATCCTTTTTCTTTTCTTTTTTACAGGATCATTGAAGTAAAATCGGACTTTCCAGGATGGAACACATGTGAAAATTTCGTCATCCACCTTCCAGGTTTTTTTATTTTATATAATACTATATAATGATCATTATACGTGATAATAAAATATGAAACATTAAAATATTTGCTAACTAAATTTCTTTTTATCAAGATATATTCGTAGTCGAGTACAATACCAGCAATCTGATAAATTGCATTTCTAATGTGGGCTTTTAATAAAAGGAGATTAGGTTAACCTTAATTTTTCATTGTTTTGACAATTTTGTTTAAATTATTCAGAGTGTGTGCATGCAATATTTAGATTAATACTACAAACTTTTATGTTAAATTAATTTATTTATACTCTGGGATCCTGAGCATTCAGCATAAACCAAAAGTTTTAAAATAGTCAATTCTATCTATATATTTATTAATAATGTGTGTGATCTGCATATTTACCCTACTCAATTTTGTTGTATGTTGTGATCAGGTATGTGCTGGTTTTTTGCTATTTATAGCTTGCAGTACTTTAATCTTTCCAGTTTTTTTTATATGCCAATTTATTCTTTATGTGAGATCATCAAGATAATTTTCTCATAATTATGTAAAAGGAATGATCTACATCTGCCATTTTTATAGTACTATGGTTGATGTTCTTGCTAGATCGTTCTGTACAGATCATTCTGTACAGATCATTCGTCCTAGTACTAAATACTAGATGCAAACCTTCGCTCGCTGTATATGCTGGATGTAGTAAATTTGGTTTTGTAAATTCTCATTTTATATGTTTTTTTGTATTTTAAATAAGATTTGTTTGTCAAATTTTTCAATTTTTTGTTTTTTTTGTATCATGTTTTTTGCCAGGTAGATGATTTGATAATCATTGATTATCAAAGACCAAAAAGAAAGTTCATGACAAAAGAATTTGATTTTTTTTTTTTTTTTGGCAAAAAATTGTATTCAATACTTGTGAGTGTAGTACATGACTGGTGAAGTATGTTTTTAACTGGTATTAAACTTATTGACACTACATGGCTAATTGGGGTGTCTAATGCATATCTAATTACAAACATAGTGCAGATCATATAGTGAAAATCATTAATCAATTTTTTATAATTAGCAGTAGCATAGTGGTAACGTAAGTAGTAAAAAATATATAAAATTTAGATTACAATAACTCTTGAACAAGCAAACACATACAAATGAAATTATATTTGTTAAGTTCATTTTAGTGTACTCTTTAAAGTAACAACACTTTTTTTTGTTTTTTGTTTGTTGTTTGAAGCAATATCGGAGACTTAATTTTCATACCAAATAGCCGTTTTTGATATTTTTTAATATAAAAATCAAAAAAGTAACTTTAAAATTTTTTTGTTTACTCGTATTGTATTGTGCAATAGTGATCGACAAAATTACGTTTTGGATATTTTTATTAAAAAATCATCAAAATGATCATTTTGCATGAAAATTTGGATCCTTTGCTACGTTTCAATCAATAAAAATAAATTAAAAAAGGCATTGTAACTTTAAAAAGCACACTAAAATGAACCCAACAGATATAGTTTTATTTGTATGTGTTCGCTTGTTCAAGAGTTATTGCAATTGAAATTTTATATGTTTTTACTATTTACACTATCACTATGCCACTGCTAATTATAAAAAAATTTGTTTAATAATTTTCACTATACACATGCACTATGTTTGTAATTAAATATGCATTAGATACCCTAATGGCTGGTGTTAACCTTAAGATATTTTATTGTGCATTTTATTGCTTAATATAAATACTATTGCTATCAAACTGATTATACTTTAATTTATTAATAAACAAATAATCAATAAATACTTAGAACCCAACCTTTCATTAACTGTTATAGATATAAGTTCATCTGATTGCTAATAAATTCTATTTAATTTTACATTATTTATACAGCTTAGAAGACTTTTTTT